AATCTAGCCTGGCCTTCAGTCATCTTCACTCAACTTCAACCTCTTTAGGATGTATAAGGATGCACTACATGTCACGGACTAATTAAGATGAGAGTGCGTTCTGGGATAAGCACGTGCGCTGAGAGCCCGTGAGATGACAGCACCCTGTCAATCATTCCTGTCAATCACACCTAGAAGTTCAAGGGGAGGCACCTAAGCAGAGGTTCTGGTCCTTTAAATTCTGAAACCCTGGTTTGACCTAAGTGCAGCTTAGGCGCACGATGTGCTGCACCTTTTGTTACCCCGACACCTTGTTCTGTCTGTATCTCCTGTTGGCACACACTTGCCCTGAGCACCACTTCCGGGATCTTCACCCAGTCAACTCTCTTCACTTGCCCCTTGTATTGTGTATCTGCAATTCTTTGCTCATCATATGAGAGCCTGGATTACATTAGCCTGTTTCATGGTTATGAAACCTCACCTCTCAAGTCCCAGGCAGTTTCTGATGCCTCTGTCTGTCCATGTTTCTATTTATGTGTTGGGCATGATGGTACACACCTGTAACCCCAGCACTCCAGAGGCTGAGGCAGGAAGATTGTTGAGATTAGCCAGTGCTACAAAGTAAGCTTCAGGCCAGCCTGAACTGCAAAGTGAAACCCTGTCTTAAAAAGGCAATAAAAAAAAGTTTCTATTGATGGCCTCTTCTAGGTTTATACCTGTGCAAAGAGCCTCAGGTTATGTACCCAGTGGCCCCTCCCAAACCATCAGCAGGTCCTGCCTGCCGCCTTTGGATGCCTATTATTGCTCCAGCATTGGGCAAAATGGCCAGAGGGACCAGTGAGGTCAGGCCAGCTGTCCTAAGGAGGCGCATCCTGTCGCAGGTCTGGGCACTGGCTGAACTGGTTCTAGAATGCTCCTTCCCAAGTACTCTCCTGTGTTCCTCTTTGTCCCACAGGCCTCTCTGTATGTGTTGGTTACTTTTCTCTCCTTGCTGAGACAAAATACCCCACACTCAAAATTAAGGAGGAAAGGTTTATTTAGCTCACAGTTTGTGGAAGCTTCAGTCCATAATCAGCTGACTCCAAGGCAGGGTGACGTGGCACAAGGGCAACAATTCAAGGTGGCAGAGGACAACAAAAGCAGGAAGAGGAAAGCGGGGGGAGCCTCTTCTCCTCCCTTATACTGTTAGCAGGTCACCACTCCCTTGCGGCCGGTGTAACACTCACACCATCTTCCTGCCCTCCTCTTGCACAGGATGAGGATCCTGGCTTCCTGCTGAGCTGCTCAGTTAAACTTCTAAACTTCCCAAGTTGACACAGTGTATCAACCATCACACCATATAAAAGTGAACCTCTTCCCCGGCTTTTTCTATGACAGTGGATGGCTGGCAAACACTGCACAGCCCGCTGGGTCACCCCCTTCCCGCCCAGTTCAGGTTTACTGCTGGAATTCCAGCAGCTGAACCCTGCCTGGACCAGGCTGTACTTCATTCAAAGGTATTATATGCCCCAAGGTGCTGGTGACCAACAGCACGGAAGGAGGAAGCCGGATCTCTGCCAGGGGGTTTCCTGATGTTCTCAACTTCACAAGAAAAGAGATCAAGCCCATCTCCACGCCACACCAAACAAACTTTGGCTCAGGTGAGACTGCAGAGTCCCTCAGAGTTTCTGGTGAAGTGGCTTTACCAGCTGCACCCCATAGTCTGATTTGTATCTCCCTAATAATCAGGGTCTTCAAGCATCTTTTATATGCTTACTGGTACAGTTTATGTTTAATTCAATTCTTGTAATGTGAGGATTCTATTTTCCATTAGTGGAATTTATTTTATTTTTTGTCTTTTTCATTTTTATCGGTACCAGGGATTGAACTCACGACCGCCTGCTTGCAAGGCAGGTGCTTATGCCGCTGAGCTAAATCCCCAGCCCCCCCCCCCCCCATTAGTGGAGTTTTAAGCGTGTGAAGCTGGAGGCCCTGCTATCCTGACTGCAATGAAGGGCGCCCCCGTGTGGCTCCCCATAATCCCCACCTTAAGGCTCCGCTGGTACCTACCCAGATGGCTCATGTTGTGCTGGCAGCCTGGTCCCCAGTATGGTGGCCTTAAGGTGGCCTGATGGAAGGTAATGAGTGGGAAGTCACCAGCCTAATGCTGCCTCCAGAGAGGCTGGGGGAATGGGTTGTTTAAAGCAAATCTGGCTCTCAGCTCACTCTCTTGCTTCCTGTCCACCAGGGTCTCTTCTTCCACATGCTCCCACCATGGTGTCACCATCTGTCACGGGGCCCCCACAGAGAAAGCAGAGGCCAATGCCATACTCTTGAAAGGCTAAATAAGCCCTTCTCCTTTCTGAAGCACCCAGCCGTGGGCATTTGGTCACAGTAACACAAAATCAAACAAGATAGTGCAGAACGGAGGGTCAGAGGCCTCCCCTCCCTGGAGGCAACCTGTCCCTCCCAACTCAGCTGTGCCCAACCATGACTGGACCTGTCCCCCTGAAATGTGTGCCTGTCCGAATGACACATTAGAATGGAAAGCAGGATCTTAAAAGAAGATCTGCATGCACCATGTTCACAGGTGCATTATTCATAGCATCCAAGGGACGGCAACCTGGTGCTGTCCCAGTGACACATGAGTAGATAAACCCATGCATCATACCATGGACTGCGAAACCTGAGAGAGGTCAGTGACCCGAGCTACAACATGGATGGGCCTTGGGGACACTATACCAGTGGTATTGGTATACCACTATACCAATAAACCAGTCACAAGAATACTGTTTGAGTCCACTTAACATGAAATACAGGTACATGCCTGTAATCTCAGCACTTGGGAGGCTGAGGCAGGAAGACTGCAAATTTGAGCCCTGGCAGGGCAATTCAGATCCTATAAAAAAAAAGAAAGTGTACCTACTCAAATGTATAGAAACACAGAAAGTAAAATGGTGGTGGATGAGGAGAGAGGAGTTATTGCTTAGCACGTTCATGAAGGGGCTTCCTAATTCATGTCTTGCTGCTGGGTAGCTGATTTGAATTTGATTATTCTGTTCAACTTGAACTAAGATAGGACTGAAGAAATAAAATTAGGTAGGAGATTTAAAAAATCGAGAATTTAAAAACTGCAACTTCTAAACACAGGCTCAGGGCCAGATACAGCACACACCCATCATCCTAGCACTCCTGAGGCTGAGGCAGGAGGGTTGCTGTGACTGTGGAGTCCGCTTGGGTTGCAGTGAGATCCTGTCTCAGAACAAACAAACAAACAAACAAACAAACAAACAAACATACGCCCAGTTTATTCACTCCCCAAACTGTAAATCTGGGCAAGTCTCTTTGGGCTGCAAATCACCTTTATTTCAATTTTCTCCACCCCAGGAAGGGTGGAGATGGCCCAAGGTGTACCTCTACTGTGGATGGCTTGCACTATTACCCAGGGGACAGCAACAATGCACATGGGGATTAGAATTTGCCCCTCCTTTTCTTGAGCATCTGCTCCAGTCTGTTCTATTTTTACTTCTAACAAATCTTTCTCATAGCTCTTTTCTTCACTGGTGCATCCTAAAAATTCTTTTCCATGACAGGAGTCTGAGAACCTGCATACGTACGTTGAAGAGATGGATTAAGTTCCCTGTTTCAGCCTCTGGAACCCTCAGACCTAGCCTGTGACAGAACTACAGGTGAACAATGACTGTCTCACTGGGTGGCTTGCACAGGGTATCTAACAATACAAAGCTGGGCATCGTGGTGACACATCCCTGCAACCCCAGCACTTGGCAGGCTGAGGCAGGAGGATCCTTGAGAGTTTGAGACCAGCCTGGGCTACAAAGTGAGCTTAAGACTCTGTCTCAAAAAGACAACAAACAAAACAAAACAATAATGCAAAGAAAGGCACTGATTCAGCAGACTCAGTGTCCTCCCATTACAGTTCCTTATGGAAAACATTAAAATGGTAAAAAAAAAAAAAAAACTTGTAACATAGCTCACTGTGGTATTGAGTTGTAGATGCACATTATGTACATACAACACCAATGGGGTACTTGTAAGATTTCCAAGTTGAAATTATGGATAAACTATTCACAAATATAAATTTAATGAAGTAAATGTTCACTGTAGTGATTTTTAATAGGCTTGAATAGTACTAATATTTATATTTAGATAGTAATTCAAATTCAAGCACCCAGATCTGGCCCATTTAGACTTTTTATCAATTTTATTAGTAAAAAGACTGACAAAGTGCTTAGATCTGTACCACAAGGGGTACACACCACCAGATGAGACAGTCATGTTGCAGCGGGATGCGCTGTAATAGACAAGGCACTTCCGCATGATGAGGAAAGCCTCGCCAGGTGCACAACCAGCAGCAAGCAGCTACATTCACTGAGGTCATGGGAAGCTGAGCAAGTCTGCGCCGCCAGACAGAATGAGGTGCTGGGATGACAGAAAAGCACTGCACAGAGGCCAAAGCACACAAAACAGCCACAGCAACAGAGAGTGAGGACGGACCGGGCGCCTCTCCCTGAATGTACAGGTCCTGATTGATAGGAACGATGATTGAGGTGCTGAGTCATCCGAGGGGTTCCGGACATGCGTGCTGCCCCAGAATTCACTCTGATCTTAATTATATTCCTGACATATAACGCGTATTTATGAACCCATGAGGTGGGAGTAGGGTAAAGCTAAGGTCAGCTTAGGAGATTTCAACATGCATGTGCTCTCACCTAGAGCATCAGAGATCACCTGGGTTTTGTTATTTTATTTTCTACCCCTCTTAGACAATGGACACATTAGGTTTGTCTTAAGAGAAAACATCGTGGGCTGTTTAGAATTAAATGGAGGGAAAGATAACCCTAACCCTAACCCTAACCTAACCCTAACCCTAGCCCCCTCCGCCCCATTGTCTTAACTGTACTGGTCACGCAGACACCACAGTGATTCAAGCCAGTGAGACCAGGTTTAGATTTTGCAAAATGAAAGAGCGATGGAAATTTGCTATGCAACAAAGTCAAAGCATTCAACACAAAACTGTACACTTATAGACGGTTGAGCTGGAAAATTTTATAGTATACACATTTTATCCCAGGTTTAAAAACTTAAAAAGTGAGTACACAGTTTTAGGGAGAAATTAAATAAATTTGTGCTTTATAATAGGGCAATTGTAAAATTTTAAAAATTATATAATTCTGTAGCTGTTACTCTTTTGCCATGTTCCCACCACCTTAAAAGATGCTCACTGTAAGGCCAAAGTACCCGGCAAAGCTGGGTGCCCAATACATCAGATGATTCAGGCAAAGGCCACTTCACCTGCTCTCCCGGCAGAGCACTTTCCAGAACAAATGGTTCTGTAGGAAAGCAATTTTCAACAGCACTTCCCTACAGCGCCATCTCCCTTCAATCCGCAAACCAAGCTATTGCTTGGTTCTGAATCTGGCATCAGCTACACTGAAGGCCTGAACCAGGCCAGCGGCTGTCAGGACTTGGCCAGCTGCCTGCTCTGCTGACAGGGAGAAGCTGGTGCCCACAGGCTCTGACCTGGGGTGGGAGCCTCAGACACCGACGGTGGTGGGGTGCGTGTGGCAATGCCCCCTCCCTGACCTGTGAAGAGCCACAAACCATGGCTCCAAGTAACCTGGATGTCCGTGCTGCATTCCTGTGCTGTTCCCCTCAAGGTCAGCAGCCCATTCACAAAAGCTGGGCCGGGCACAGTATGGGCACCTGGCCTTTAGCAGCTTCCCTACCCTATGCGGGAGTCCATGCCACTCTCACCATGTTCAGTGGGGAAACAGGCTGGGGGAAATCACAGGCCACCCCAAGTCTCAACACCAAGAGGCAGAAAAGATGGGACTCAAGAGCCCCTTGGTCTTCTTGGCAGGCCCAAACTGCTCCTTTGGAAATGGCACTTTCAGAAATTAATCTAAAACCCAGCAGTCACAGTAATATCAATCAGAGTAGGGAGGTGCAGGCACAGGAGCTGCCACACCTGTGGCAGGAGACACTCTCGATTCCAGAGACGGGGCCCTGCTCACAAGAGGGCGGGTACAGCTCTGCTGGGGCCACGGCTTAATGCAAACCACCATGCAGTATCCTTTGGCACAGGGGAGCCCCATGCTGGGTGGGCAGGGAATCCCTGGATTTGGGTCACAGTGAATGTGTCAGTTCCCATTCAGAGCTGTTCTGGCCAGCCTGTACTCAAGGACCTGATGCTAAGCTTGGGAAGGATTCAGCTCCCCTGGGCTCTGCTGGTCCCTCCAGCCCAGCAGGGTGGGGACAGGCCCCGCAGGGGCCCAGGATGCTACAGTAGCTGTGGTCAGAATTTCGGCACAGAGAATGAGAAGAAAAGAGGGCTTAACTCTTTCACTGCAGGACAGTTATTCAGAACCCAAACATGACCCTGGAGGAAGTTAGGCGACAAGAACTGAACTCTACACTGTCACCAAACTGAGGTAAGGGATCTACAGCACACTGACCCCGGAGGAGAGGGGGTGTTGCACTACAGACAGCACCACATGGTGCCCTGTGGAAAGCCTGGGATGGCCACTGGCACTGCCCGGATTCCTGCCACCTGCCATTTCCAGAGTCTATGAAGTGCCATCAGTAAAACCACAGGAGCCACAAGAACCGCCAACCCTCGGAGGGCCACACTGCAGGCTCAGCGCACAGACGGTGCAGCAGCTCTGACCTGGGCACCATCCAACATCCTACCGGGATGCACTGCCCAGGTCCCCCGGCCCGGGCTCCTCACCGACCCTCCAACTTCTCACGCCCTTCCTTCCTGCGCCTCTCCCGTCTCTGCCCCGGCACCAGGGGCCAGGTCTTCGGGCCAGTACTGGTCCTCCATGTACTGCTCCACGTCAGTGCTGCTGTCGGGCTCCCTGTCCTCGGGGCATGACCACTGGCTGCTGGCCACCTCCTGCTCCCACCTGTCCTCCACCAGCCGGTAGAGCTCCATGGCTGTGGCGGCATCTTCCACTGACGAGTGCCCGTGTTGGCCCACCTGTAGATGAGAGCCAGTGTCACTGCCTGTTGGGACAGGCCACAGGCCACTGAGCTTCAGACCCTACTTCTCTTAACTGTAAGACATGATGAAAGCCGGCTTTAGAGGCTGAAAATTTGATGCCCATGAACACAATGCAGGGCAGGATCAGGGTCCCCAGGCCTGACCGAGGGCCTCATGTCTGCTTCTAGGAGACACAAGAGCAAACACTGGGGGTGCAAGACTGAGCGGTCAGGCTGGGGATGACACGCTCAGGAGAGATCTGCCTGGAGGTGACAGTTTACCCAGCGCATACAGGGAGGAAGGTGTAAGTGGAAGAGCCTCTGGCTACACAAGGTGACCTGGATGGGGAAAGGGCAGCCCACAGCCCTACCCTTCCTCATTCAGGGGCTTGGGCCCCCCGGCTTTGCTTCTGCCCCACTCACCTGGATCCTCTTGTGCAGCAGCTCCAGGGCCAGGTCCTTCAGGGAGACTCGGGCTCGGGTGTGGAGGCCAGGCTGGCCGAGCAGGCTCGGGACGCATGTGGTGTCACGGGTCTGGCTCCGGGGGTGGACATACTTGAGGGCCTGGAAGTCATTGTGCAGTGCATGGCCCACCACAACCTTGCCCTTCAGAAGCTTAAGGATCTGTAGGTGGAGAGGAACAGGGAGAAAGAGCCTCGTCAGGCCTGCAGTGAGAAGGACGAGCCCTCTCCCAGCTGTGCCCAGACCCTTGGGGAGCAGCGGGGCAGATCCATGATCAAACTTGCTGCCCCGCACTTAAATCCACGCTTCCTTTTTGGTTTTTTCTTTCGGTGCTGGGGATTGAACCGAGGGCCTCACACATGCTAGGCAAGGACTCTGCCATTGAGCTACACTTGCAGACCATTTTGTAATGTTGAAACAGGGTCTAAGGTGTCCGGACTGGCCTTGGACTTGCAATTCTCCTGCCTGTACCCGAGTAGCTGTGCATCACCTCGCCTGACTGAATCTAGCCCTTCCTCTTGACTGTAACTTAAGCACTCTGCATCCATGGACGGGCACCCTGCCCGCTGCATTCCACAGGCAGCTAATCGAGGGAGGTCACGGATGGCCAGGCTTCTCGTCAGTTGCTGCTGTGCAGCCTTTTTCGGGTGCTCCCGGCTCTTCCTGAGCTGTGGGTCCCAGTTCACTGGTGGGCTGTCCTACAAGTCACTGTCAAGGACTCCATTCTCCCCTTCAGGAGACTTATCCTGTTGCTAGGGACATATTTGGCCCTTGAGATGGTGTAGCCATACCTCCCACACCAGAACCCGAAAGCACAGGGTCCCTATGCGACTGGACCAGTGCTGCTTCAATGTATCGGTTTACTATTAGTTATTGGTCAGTAAAGACCTATCAAGTGAAGACAACAGAACCATGCCTGGTGCCAGTAAATACAGCAAAGGCAGAAGCTCTTACTAGTATGAAGTGACTTGGTCCCGGTTTCAGGATTCTGCCTCTTCTTTCCTGTGTACTGACTCTTCCTTGCCCTCCAAACCGGTATGTGTGCACAATTTATACCTCTCCCTCGAGCACCCATAGAGGCCCGCAGCCTGGGTGCAGCCTCTGTGGAGCTTTGCATGAGCAAGGTGTGTCCTGTGCGCTCTCCCTTGGTTCTGTCCAGCTGGGGACCCCTGTTATACATTAGTATTTCTCAGGAATAAAACCAGGTGTGAACAAAAGAGATGCTAATAAATTAGCATTCTTAAATTGTGTCCTAATCCAGTCACTGTATTGGAACAAATTAGCATTTTCAAAAGCAGCAACAGAACAGAACAACATTGTAACACTTCTGGGCTGCTGGGATTGGGCAAGTTTGGGAAATACAGCTGTACCTTCTCTTCCCTCCTGCTCCTCTAGAGGCCTTATGACCTCAGCAGTTCTTTGGGAAGACTGGAGATTATCCAGCAGGCCCATCAGGAACAGGAGCAACAGGAAGGAAGCCTGCGTGAGCCTCCCCCACTCCACCCCTCCCCTCCACCTGGCTGGGGTGGGGTGGGGGATGAGGCCTGAGGCTTGTGCTGTGATGCATCCCCGCTATGCAGGCTGAATGTGTCTCATCAGCCCACAGAGGTGGGTTGTGTGAGGCCTGCAGCTGGTGATGAGAACGCAGGCCCAAGCTAGCATCTCTTTTGTTCACACCTGCTTTTATTCCTGAGAAATAATAATGCACAACAGGGGTCCCCAGCTGGACAGAACCAAGTGAGAGCACACAGGACACACACACCTTGCTCACGCACCAGTGCTCCTACTTGCCCGGGTGCATACCTGTCTACACCTACAGGGACCACTTTCCTTTTTTTTTGAACACCAGAGATTAAACGTGGAGTCAAAGCCCAGAGTGCTTTACCACCAAGCTGTATCCCCAGCCTTTCCATCCCAAGACAGGGTCTTGCTAAGTTCAGCTGTCCAGGCTCGCCTTGAATTTGTGATCCTCCTGAGTAGCTAGTGTTATAGGTATGCATCAAGGCACCTAGGCTTGTTGGTACAACTTTCACAAATAGCTTTTCTGTCCACACTTCACTACAGCCCAAGCAGCAGCCCTCCAGGCACCGGCTTCCCCCAGCAAACTTCAGGACTCTCAAGCTAAAGTGCCCTGCTCATTAGTGTATTGTGCATTTCCTAACCAGTTCACATGTGCAAACTGCACAATCATTTTTTGTTAGACTTCTCTTTTCATCTTTATGGTGTCATCAACCAAGCCTTTGACTCTGTTACACTTAACACCCTTCCTCGTGAACATCTGGTGCTGTTTACGCTTAGCATAATTTTTAGAACCCCTCCCAAGCCTAGAGACCTGCAGGATCAAAAGCTATTAGTCAGGCTTTAGATGTTTGCTATAGTCAACGGCACCTGAGAATTTCTGCTACATTAGTGGGGTCTCAACTGCTAAGCAATTTTTTCAAAACACTTAAAAATTAGTGTAAGGAAATATGCCAACATCTCAATACTGGAAGAGTTCAGGGATATGGGTCCTGTACTTCTCATATAGACACCTAACACTTTATAGCACAAAGCAAACCCCAAAAGGTAAGCTGTTTAATCCTTAATGGTACAGCCTTCTACAGACATTAACCTGTGTGCTGCCCCACCAGCCCTTCAAGGAGATAGGGCCAGGACTTTACTTACCCTATCCCATGAGGTGAGATCATGAAATATGGTGAACATTTAAATCTAAAAAAAGAACTTATTGCAGTAGAAGTCACATTGTCATTGATCCCCCTCAAAATCTCCCTCATCTTGAACACAAGTGATCCCATCATTCTCACCACTGAAGCAGCTTTGGAAGTCCTCTTTAGGGAATGTCATCTGTTGTACTGATGTGGCTGCCTTCATCGCCCAAATGAATTCAAACATTTACCTTTTGTGGTTGTTTTGACTTTGGGGAAGAACCAGAACAGTGTCACATCCAGCGACCAAGGCCGATGAGAACGCACTGTAAGGTTTTCATATGCCAGAAAGCACTGTAAACATTTTGAATCAATTCAGGACACTGAGAAAGGCACAACAAGACCTGAAAGAGGACTTCAGAACTGTTTCTGGAAAGTGGCAAGCACAATGGGATCAGAGTGTTCAAAGAGAGCGGGAGAATTTTGAGGAGGATTAATAGTAATCTGTTTTTTACCACGGTATCTTTAAAAAATTAAAATGAACATCCATCATATTCTTTGATCGTGCACTGTGTCCGGAGAAGGAACCTACTGGAGGAGGGAGGGACTTTCTGAAGGTCTCTCTCGCTCTGTGAGACCCGGGTTATGTACTCACACTCAGGGCTGTACTACCCAGTCCATCACACAGACCCGATGAATTCCCAACTCTGTCCTCACCTCTTTCTGGGCCACCTGGAAGGGGATGGCTCTGCGCATGTGCTGCCGCGTGACACCACTCCAGCGAGTACGGTAGTCAACGATGGGCATCTCAGGCCGGATGTACTTGTCATAGAGGACGTCACCATGGTAACTCACTACGGAGCAGCGGGCCAGCTCGCTCACACACCCTCGGGGTCCTGTGCCCACCATCTCACAGTCGATAGCCACACACTTGCTGGGCGAGGGCCTCAAGGCTTCCCCGGGGGCTGGCCGTCTGCTGCCCAGGCCAGTGCCACCACTTCCAGCCCTGGAATGCTGGCTCCCGCCGGGGGCAGCTTCAGAGTCTGGCGGTGCCTCTGATGGGGAGGACCATGACCCCGGAGGTGTGCTCAGCAGCCCCTGCTCCTGCAACAGGGCCTTCCGGGCCATGAAGCGCTGGTGCTGTCGGCTCCTCCTCTTGTGCCTTCTCCGTAGCACATCCTTGGCGTTCAGGCTGGTGTTGGACAGGCACTGAGCAGACCCAGGGCCTTCCCCCTGGACCATGCCAGTCAGTTCACAGCCTGCAGCAAGGGACGCCAGGGAGGCGGTCTCTCCGCAGGACAGCACTCTAGAGAGAGAACACAGGAAGAAGCGGGCCGCATGAGGAAGTGGCCAGCCCAAACCTCTGTGTAGGAGCTCACAGCATCTAGCAGAGTCAGAGACCCACCTCACCAGCAACAGCTCTCACACTGTGGAGGGCTGTTTAACTCAACAGAATCGTACCATTATCCCAGCTCCTGAATACCCCACTTCCCAAGCAAAAAAACCTGAAGCATAGAGATTAAGGACTCCACCCAATTAGTAAAAGAAAAACACTGGTAAGAAGCAGAACCTCCCAGGTGTGGTGCCACTCACTGGTAACCCCAGCACTCTGGGAGGCTGAGGTAGATACAGGGACTGCAAGTTTGAGCTCAGCCAGGGCAATTCAGCAAAGCAGTTTAGTGAGATTTAAAAAGAAATGTAAAAAGGGCTGGGGATACAGCTGAGCAGGACCCCCTGGGGAGGTTGCTATAATGTTGATTAGCATCCTGGATCGGAACACTAACTGTCCTGACAGCACAATCAGAGAATCACTACACCCTTCAAAGTCCAGTTATGCAGTCTACTTCCGTCTGTGAAGGTAGCGATGGAGCCCAGTGTGTCTCTGCCACGTCCCCTGAGTCGTAGCCCACAGCAGGCCCTCTGGAAAAGTGTGGTGGGCGCCATGCAAGGCCTGCTGCTAGACAGATGTGAGACTGTGAGGACCACAGGGCTGGAATTCACTGTAGCCTCAGGAACTCAGGTTGGGTGGGGAGCAGATGGTTGCAAGAGTGCAAAAGTGTGGTCAGGACGCCAGCAAGGGACTAAGGGAAGGGGCATGGGGCAAAGCAGAGACACTACCAGCTGAGAGAGGCCTAGAGGTGGAGGGGATACTCTGCAAAGGTACAGCTAGGTCAGCCCACCAGGCAGCCCGGGAAGGAGTGGTTTTGAGAATCTTTCTCAAGCTCAAATCCCAGAAGCCAAAATGCACCACTGTAGGCAGCAGAGTTTGAAGGGCAGAGGCAGGGATTGAGGAGACAGGTGGAGGCCTAAGGACTGCTCCTGGGCTTCCGCAGGGATGAACGGGGAGCCAGGGAAGGGCTTCAAGGGGAAGTGAACCAATTGCAACTGCCTTCCAGGAAAAGTGTGGACTGGCTGAGAACCTAGCAGCAGAGACGGGAAGGGGCAGGAAGTGAGGTGGACTTTGGATTTGCTGATGCCAGCTCACGTTTGAGGCTTCCTGGCACACAGGGCCAGGGTGAGGCTCAGTGACCCATTCTGACTCATCCACCTTGGGCCTGCTCATTCCCTCCCCAAAGCGTCCTCCCTCTAATGAAGATGTTTAACCGAAGCTGTCAGAAGTGACAAGTTCAGAGTCCTGATTTGCCTTAACCCCACGATGGGAGAATCCCTGCACAAAGAAGCCCAAGCTGGCCCTGCTGGAAACTGGCTTGGGGTGTGGGCTTTCCAGAGAGGGGCTGTGTGTCACAGGGTGGGTGGCTTTCCTGCAGGACACAAGGTCCTAAAGAAACCCCAATTAGGTTCCCCAAGAAAAGGTCTCTGTGGCTTTGTGACTGAAGAACTGAAAGCAGGCCTGTTCCACCTGACCTGGCCTCGCTGGTTTGCCAGAACCAACAGTGACCAGCATTAGACCTGTGCTTCAGCACAGATGTGTGGGCTTAAAGTGCACAGCCCTTTCAGCAAGCGGATATAAACCTCTTTCCAGAACACCCAGTGCTCTGAGGGTCAGAGCAGCAGGCCTTGAAGTAGGGATCCCTGGTCCAAGGAAAAGGCCTCAGTGCCAAAGATTCGCAAAGCAAAGATGTGGAGGAACCAGAGTCAGAATCACCTGTGATGTGGGATCAGACTAGATTTAGGGGATAGAGCAGGTAATTCTTAAAAACACTGTCTGTTAAAATACAAGATTCTCCCGCCCATCCCTACACTATCTGGACTTCCTTGGGGAGAGAATCCCACCACACTGGGGATTAAACCGAGAGCTTTCGCAGAGCTATACACATACCCAATCCTTTAAAAAAATTTCTTTTTTAAAAAAATGTTGAGCCATGCTCTCTCCAAATAGCTGAGTTGCCCAGGCCGGGCTCGAATTTCTGACACTTCTCTCAGCCTCCCAGTGCTGGAAATACACGCGTGCATCACCCCGCTTCTGAGAATCATGGTGGCTACGGACGACCCCTCCCACAAGTCAAGATTCTCAAAATTGCCCAGGTTTCGGAGAAACTGGTTCAGTAAGATCTCCTGCGTTACTAAAAAGTTCACGGGGAAAAAAAAAAAAAAAAGCAAAGCCAGCACGCGGAGAGTGCGGCCGACAACGCCGGCCGGCGACCCCAGAAGGCCTCAGGCCGTATCACCAAGTCCAGGCCGAGGCTACCGCCTGGCGCCGCCCCCCAGGCCCGGGCCCCAGAGCTACGCGGGGATCCCTCGTCGGGGCTGGCCCCCATCACCCTCTCCAAAGGCGGGGACACGCCGCGTCGGCTGGTGCGACCCGCAGTCGGGGTCTGTGTCTCTGTCTCACCTGAATTCCCGGCGCCTCTTCCGCCCCGCACGTGTCGCCGGCAACCACCAGCTCCTACTTGCCCAGGCTAGCCCGCTCCGGCTGCCCGCCTATTGGCTCGCTGGACAGCAGCGCCCGCCTAAAACCGCTTCTGATTGGTCGATCTCAGTGCGGCAGTGGGCGAGCCAGAGCGAAAGAAAAGGGACTCTTTGAGGGGTGTGGTCTAGGATCCAGCCAGACGCGCAGGCGGGAAATTTTAAAGAGACCGGACCTGAACTGGCTCTGCTCTAGGCTATGGCTATCTCTGGGCGGCTGCATGTGTTGAGTTGCGGGCTTCTTTGGTACAACCAAAGGCCGAATGACCAGAGTACACCCACATCTGCGGAATGGAACAGTAGCCACTACCTCCTCCAGAGTTCTGGAGATTCGGTGAAATAATACAGTATATCGGTGAAATAATACAGTATTTAGTATACTATTCTTTAAAATCTCAGGTTTGAGCCCAGCGTGGTGGTGCAATCTGTAATCCCAGCCCTGAAGGGGTCTGAAATAGGAGGATCCTAAATTCGAGCCCGTCCTGGGCAATTTAGCGATTTGGTGAAAATCTGGCTTTAAAAGGAGGGACTATACTATTCACGCAGGGAAGTTGGACTTGCTGTTTTCCCTCTGAAGTCTCGGCAGTTTTATTCTATGTAATAAAATGGCAATAGATTACTGGAACAAAAAAATACGCGTTGCAGCATCTGTTTAAGGGACGAACTGAGTTCTACTCAGAACTCTAAGGGCTAGGGGGCTTTGGCTTGGGGGTCTGGCAGGTGCGCGGGCTGTGAAGAGTTGGCGGGGGAGGGAGAGGCACCGTGAGCCAAGGTTGTCTTGTTATGCAGATGAACTGTTCCGGGCCACAGCCACCTGTGGCCTTCCTTCCCCACAGGTTTCAGATGTGCAAATCTCTTCTTCCTGTAGAAAGATTGCCTGGGCAGATACGGAGCATTTCAGATGGAAATGCTGCTTATTCTTGTAGATAAATGTAAATTTCTTTTACAAGTGGATAGCTTTTCTGGGCCTTCCTTGTGACAGAGAATTGGAGGTTGCTGTGGAAATCTGAAAGATTCTTACAGAATGAAATGTGTATTGATTTTGATTAAGTGTAGTACTGATATTGCTGTGCTATCTCAGTCTGCAAGGAAAACAAAGGCACACTTACAGCCTTATGGCCACAGAAAAAAAATTTCAGAATTAACAAGTTTAAATTTATCTACATATTCTTGGGACAGAAAAGCACAATATATAATACACTAAGCTTGTATAAAATGCTTAACAGAAGCCAAGTATAAAGAATGTTGCATAGAATGTCAAAATTTTTTTCCAAATCCATTTTATTTCAAGGATAAAAAGAAAAAAGAAAAAACTAAAATAAAATTTCAAAACACATCAGTAAGGGGGCTATAATGATACGTACATTGCACATTGTCATCCCCAAATCTAGAATGTCAAAAGATTTAGTAAAGAAACACTATATTTGAAATGGTTATTTTGATGGTGGGATGAGGGATGCTAAGAGGACAAATAGGAAAAATCCATAAAATTTACAGTCTCTCAAGGATTAGACAAAAAGTTGATCTGGAGAGCGGAAAAGCAGGGTTGAACCCAGGGTCTCTGACATTCTCAGCCCTTTTTATTTTTTATTTCAAGACAAGGTCTCAGTAAGTCACTCAATTCCCCAGGCTTGTCACTGGGCTGGGTTGGAGAGCTTGAAATTGAAAAACAGAACTTGACCCAATCTTTTGTAGAACAAGTCCGGTTTGATGACTCCCACTGTGGAAAAAGCATTTTCAGGCCTTCTCAGTAAGAGGCAGGGGAGGAGTTTACTAGGAAGAGATTTTAGGACACACAGGAATGGAGTGCAGGTGGTTTGGAAATGAGACACATTATTTCCTGCAACAGGGAACTTTTATGTTTCTCTTGAAGGGTGGAAACCCCAAGAAAAGGTGCCCCCCAAAGGTACTCACCGATTCTACAGGTATGTGCAGTTTTTTAAATAGAAAACAATCATTTTTGGATTCTGTGCCTTAATCTTAGGGTCAGGTGTCTGCTTTTTATTTTCTCAATCCAATTTATGAACTTTCAGTATTCCTGAGGAATTTGGGTGTGATAGGTCTGCCAGGAAAGGAGCCTAATGTTTTGGTTTCATTTACACAGGGTCTTGCCATGTAGTTTAAGTGGTCTTGAACTCACTGTGTAGCCCAGGATGGCCTCAAACTCCCTACGTAGCTCAGGCTGCCTTTGGACTCACAGCCATCCTCCTGCCTCAGCCTCCCAAGTGCCGGGTTTACAGGTATGCACCCTTTTTTTCTTTCTGTACTGGGGATCGAACTCATGACCTTGCACCTGCCAGGCCAGTGCTTATGCCACTGAGCTAAATCCCCAGCAGGAGCCTAAACTTAACCAAGGAAATGCTGATTTGAATCACCTTGGTTAATACTAGTAGAGTCCTAAGAAGTTGCAGTCTTCTTAAAAGTACAATGTGATTTCCTCATCTCCTTTTTCCCTTTTATTTCTTCTGTCCTACCTCAGGCTGTCGTCAAACTTACAGGATTCTCCTATCTCAGCCTCTCAGAGTGCTCGGATTGCAGATGTGTGCCCTTGTCCCCAGCGTGGTTTTACTTTTTTTAGAGGGTGAGTCTGGTGAGAAGTGGGTGTGGGAAATGTGAGATCCCAGAGCGCATTTTGTTCTACTTGATCAGTGGGCCACACACTTCTGTGGACCTGACACAGCACAGAATGGAAACAGGAAGCATCTGAGTCTCTAGCCTTGACTGGCTGTCCTAGGGGGAGCCCCAGGGGGAACCCCTGAGTTTTATCTCAGCTGGATGGGGGAGGGTGTTTCTTGTTCTTTTCAAAAAACGCAAAAGCATTGGGTTTCCAAACCCGTGCTGTCTTGTCAGAACACAGCAGTAGGGTAAACCCAACACTGTCAATAAGAAGTTTTTTTCATGGACCTTAAAAATGGATGTCCCTGCAAGTCCCTGGGCAATTCACATTTCACTATAATAATTTAGCATAGTTTAGAAAGATGTCAGTGCAGCCTTTGTAACTACTCAGAACATTATTAAGCAAAAATGTTTTGAGACCTCAGGTATTCAGTGATGGCCTCAGTACTGATGGCACCCGCAATCCTGCTTTTTTAGGAAGCCACTCAGCTTACCTACCAACTCTTGTGTTTCTGCTTCTTCCATTTTGGGTTAGTGGGGACTGCGTCCAGGGCCTTTGCATGGGATGACATCCCCAGCCCGTATTTAAAAATTTAAATTTTGAGACAAAGACTCTCTAATTGATTAAGTTGCCCAGGGTGGACTAGAACTTCCAATTCTCCTGCCTCAGCCTCCCAGATTTTAGGAATTACAGTGTGCACTCTCATGCCTAGGTACTTACCAACTCTTAGAGTGAAAATAGCTCCTCTTTCAAAGACCAAGAAGACTTTGAGGTATAGCCTAAAGAGGAAAACTCCTGATCAAACCCTTCCCCGAGGACCCTACTCTTTTCTTCTCTACATTTTCAGTCCAGAAGCACAGAGGACCAGAGATGTGCTGTTTTGCAAGCACAGATCCTTACGGGCCATCAAAGCACCACTGTGCCCACTGTGGGTAGCACTTTGAGGACTTAGGAGTGGGCCATGGGATCCCCATGGTGCCAAACCACTGTCAGATCTGAAAGGGTGTATTGATCTGCCCAATTTTTAGAGCAATGATTCTCTGAAGTATGGTCCCAGCAGCAGCCTAGACCTTGGCTGGGAATTTGTTGGAACAGCTGAGTCAGAAAGCCAGGGCCCGGGCCCAGCGATCTGCATTTTAATGAGCTAACTGATTAGCAGCCGGTCCTGGTGCAAGGCCCAGTGTAAGACCCTTTGAGTCATACGGAGTGAAGCTGACAATTTCTGGGGGCCAACTGGAAATTTCCCCTCTGGTGTGCATGTACGCGTGTGTGTGTTGCTGGAGATTGAAGCCAGGTCTTTTAAACTGAGGAACTTTAAAAAATTTTCCTTTTTAAATGTTGAGACAGAGTCTCACTAAATCACTAAATCGCACAGGTTGGGCTCAAGCTTGGAACACTCCTGTCCTACAGTGCTGGGACTATAGACACGAGCTACCACAGCTGGCTCTATTGGCACCTTTGACCCCACAGTGGCTGGACTTTGTACCTCCCAGGACATGCGCTGTCACGGAGACAACTATGGCACCTGTGTACTCCCCCAGCTCCTATGAATTTCAGGATTCCTAGACTCAGGTTAATTCTGCACAATTTTTAAATGGAAGACCGGAAGTATTCTATCCAGGGAAATTTTACCCTCCATCCTTGATCTCTCCTTTCTAGATTCCAGTTTTTTCACATATAGAATGAATCCTTAAACCAGGGATCCCCAGTCTCCAGCGGACGCGCAGAGCTTTAAAAATGACGGATCACACCCGAGATTCCCATTCAAGTGATCTGAGCTAAGAACGGCGCCTAGGGAGCAGTTGCCTCAAGAGCCCAGCAGAGGGCACTGCGTCCCTGCACATCCAGGGAAACCTGCGGTGGAGCAGGCTTCTGCGAGCCAGCTGATCCGCGAGGGCGAAGGGCCCGAAGGCATTGCCCTTGTGCTCCCTAGAACATCGCCTCATGAGGCACTAAGTTGTGAATCTTGCTGAGTGACTTACAGGCAAGTCCCAGCTTCTAGTCTTTGATTTCTGTGGTTTTACAAAGGGAGGGTTTGGACTGCGTTCGTTGTTGCATGAAATGCGCAGCACAGTGACCCGCGCGCAGAGGGAAAGCTCACCTCCAGACCCGGTAAATGTGACAGCACTGGAGAGTGGAGGCTCCCAAGGGTCCTGACTTCAGGGAAAGAGGCAGTGGGGGAGGGGCGTCTACGCCTGTGCTCCTTTGCACCGCGCTTGCCTCCTAGCCACGGTGGGACTAATTCCATCTTACATCTGAGGAAGCCAAGGCTCAGAGATGTCAAGGAGCTGGCTTAAAGTCACACAGGAATCGAGGGTGCAGCATGGAGGGAAACGTGCGCGTTTGACTTCAGAGCCAGGACTGGCAGCTCTGCGCACCAACAGGGGCTCCTG